GGATGGATGGATGGATGGATGGATGGATGGATGGATGGATGGATGGATGGATGGATGGATGGATGGATGGATGGATGGATGGATGGATGGATGGATGTGACTTTTTTGGCCTAATGTTATGAAGTTGATGAAATTTGCTTTTTTGTGAAATTCACCTTTTAACCATTAATTATCTCTTTACAGTGTTATGTAAATCGGAGAATGCAGTATTCATTGTCTAGATTTCATATAAAAATTCCACACTTCATCCCTGTTCAGGCCGTACTAAATATCCTTCCATAATGAAACACAACCACACAATGCACTAGTTTTTATCACTGACCTACTTCCCTCCCTAACACCATATAGCATCAAGCTGCAAATAGACATAAAACAGAGAATAGAGTTCTATTTCGGAACAAAGCATTTTCAATCAAAGCTCAAATGAAAAGAGACATGTTTTTTTCTYAGTGAAAATGGTGCAATAACTCTTGTTTGGATCATATTGAGGCTGTGAGAAGGAAAAGCTGTGATGGTGATGATGAGAGATGCAGAGGGGGGAGGGGAAGAAGCACGTTGTATCCAGCACAGTCTCACCGAGCCTGTGCAGCGTTTGTGTTAGTGATGCTCAGCAGCCATTTTGAGCTGCAGCCTGCTCTGTTTACTGAAACAGGAGGAAAAAAGGGAGTTTTGCATGGGGCATAATGATTGTAGACTGTTTACTGACTGCAGTGTGTAGGATGCAGATAAACTGACATTTATCTTTATAAATATGAAGGAATTGAAGCAGGAGACAAGGTAGACAGAAAGAGAAAAAAGAGAAAGGGAGAGAGAGATTTGGTTATATAACCACTAAGAAAAGGGAGGTCAGTAATCAGGATAGAAGCAGTTTGAACAGAATGAAGACACATAACAACTGATCTGGATGAGAGCGAAATTAAACTGTAAAATTCTAGTTTCTTCACGTTGACATAATAAGAATTTTTTAAAGTCAGCGTGAACATTCTGTTTTATATTTTTGGGAGATAATGAAGCTGATTCTTCTCTAATAGTTCTGTATTATGCCATGCTATGCCAGTGAGGAATGTTTTTTTTTTCACTCATCAGATTTGAAAGCTGTCTTACGTCTTCAATGTCTTCAGTTTTCTCAAGTTCAAAGAGGTCATGGCTGAGAGATAACCTGCATGTATAGGTCCTGGGTGATGCATCATTTAGTACGTGATTCACAGCAAAAAAAAAAAAAAAAGACAACATTGAAACATAAAAATTTTAATGTGAGCGTCCTGTAATTACCAACCTAGACCAGTGACACCCTCCACTCCCACCCCCACCAACACACAAACAGTTTTATTACCTTTCTTTAAACAATTATGTCTATTTTTTCCAGTCTTTGATAATAAGGGTTTTGCTTGCCATATCTTACAGAGTGGATCAAACGTCAACAACAAAACAGTTTATCCTGTTTAGACTTTAGTCTGTACAAGTTGAAAGACTTGTTTTAGCCTTCTCTTGTTAAAGAAATTAGTTTGAGATCATCAGCAGAAGGAGACGTTTTTAGTTCTGAAAAGAAAAAAAAAAGTTTGTTAAACTTGCCTTTGACCAGAACAATCATAAACAAACAAAGTCTCTCAGCTTGCTTCATGACTGTCTGGTTCTCCTGTCAGAGMTGTCTGTTGAGCAGCTGAGGATCCGTGTTTATGCCAGTGGGGTCCACCGGCTCTTTGTTTTTCCGTGTTTCAGGATGTGGTTAATGTTTACGCTGTTAGTTCTCTTTGTATTTTCGTTTACAAGACGACCCACATGTAGTGGGAAAACAACACGTGTGGGTTCATTCACATCAAGAAGATGTTATCTTCTTAAATTGTTTAATCATAATAGCTTTGATATTCTCTCTTTGTGTAGTTATTGCTGTTACTTAAGACAGCTTTAATCATGTTTGCGTGTTTGCTTTATGAAAGGATTTATAAAAAATGGGTCATTTTCAGTTTAATATTTACCTTTTTTCTTGTTTAGCAGCTGCTCATAATGCCTCACCTTTATATGTTTGTTACACAGTTATGCCTCAAATGTAACATTTTTTTGGTTTGAGTTGTAG